CTTGATACATGGTACTTATTATATGTTGTACTTTGGATTCCTAAAGCTTTTAGTCTACTAACCCATCATCCAAGGGTAGTTTTCACTATCTGTAAAAAAGAATCTTTGGACGGACACTATAATTTACAGTTTTTTACTATGTCAAATCTGAATTTTCTTTAAAATAAAAAACATTTATATTGATTCTGACACTTCTACATCCAACTCACAGATGTAACCTTGCTTTGATAAAATAAATTATTCATATAACCCTTTTAGAAGTTAAGTTGTAGTCATTTGTTTTGGGCATGTCATTTTCGAGCCTGAAACATGAAAAACAGGCTTGGTGCTTAACAGGTTAAGCACGGCAGTCCCCCCATTGGACCCCTCCCACCGTTTTCTTTTCGAGAAAATGTCTCAGGGCTTCTTAACATTTATGAAACTATTAATGTGTAGCACCAGATTAACGGGAAGAATCTCAGCTAACTGAAGATATGAACCATTTTTACCAAAACAAAACACAAGTCTCATAAGAAGCGTCTAAATGACCGCTGAGCGAAAATATTCTAATGCACCGCGGCACACAATTCAAGATAAAGATACCCTTATTACTTATCGTAGCTGCACATACAATATAGCCGATTAAAGCTGAGACTCCACAGATTATTTAGGTATAGTATCATCACTGAGCGATCCGAACTTGCGACAGGGGAAGCAAACACAGACATTTACGGCAGATCGTCTCACCGTAGCTGTCAATTAGGTCAAAAGACGTGTTCAATGGCATTAAAACGAAAGAAAGAAATGCTACAACTGTTGATCCATAGGTTGATAATGTACCTGTGCCTTTGAAAAAATTATTTATAATCCATAATTCCATTTTTATGTAAAAATCGGAGCGGAAAAGTTAGCTGCTAATGGTAGCCACCAGAGTGTATGCAGCTTCCGGTTTTGGTAACGCGTCACTCTCACTCCTTATTTCTTAACGTTTTGGTGTGTATATAACTTTCCCTCGATTCCATTGGCTCTAGCGGTTATAAAGAGATTTCATTCATCAAAATCGACCAAGGGGGGCCAGAGATAGGTCAAATCCACCCAAATGACCCCAGAAGTGGGGATTTTTGGCTAAAAAGGTCAAATTTCACTTGTTTTGCATCAATCTTGATACAGGGTACTTATTATATGTTGTACTTTGGATTCCTAAAGCTTTTAGTCTACTAACCCATCATCCAAGGGTAGTTTTCACTATAAGTAAAAAAGAATTTTTGGACGGACACTATAATTTACAGTTTTTTACTATGTAAAATCTGAATTTTCTTTAAAATAAAAAACATCTATATTGATTCTGACTTTTCTACATCCAACTCACAGGTTTATCATTACTTTGAGAATAAAGATTATTAATTTAACCCTTTTAGAAGGGAAGATACGGTCATTTGTTCTGGGAATGTCATTTTCGAGCCTGAGACCTGAAAAACAGGCTCAGGGCTTAAAGGCCCCTACACACCAGGCCGATATCGGCCGTCTTGCGTTGTTGGGCGAAAACGGGTTCCTTGTCGCCCAAAGTCAATTTGGTGTGTCCCGAACCCTCGGCCGTGACACGCCTTATTTGGCCTTTCACGATCGACACAAGCTATCGGGCCAAGAAACCACTCTGATCAGCTGTTCAGCTAGCAAATGAGAAGCGAAACGGAAGTGAGGGACGTAAACAAACGATTTAAATGTCCTCTCTTACCTCCCACACATAGCAGGGACATCTCTGATATCGGCGGGAGCGTCCCCGGCTGTCCTCTGCTGAGAGCTCCGTGATTTGTTTGGTCAAGTCCGGTTTTTCATCTCATCGTAAATTTAGCAAGAAGTGGCCATTATTACATTGCTGACTCAATAAACTACACACCCGCCAGAACACTGCGATCATCAGATGCAGGTCTATTAACTGTGATTTTATAGTATGTCTGCACTTTATGTGCTCATTTCATCATGCATGTATTTTTATATTCTAAAACATGTTTTCGATGGACGAGAGTGAAAATGGAATGGAGTGAAAGGCTATTTGTTTGTATATCAGTCTGTTCTTCTTCTCTGTCTTCCGGTTGTTGCCTATTTTGAATGACGAATACACACTACCGCCGCCTGCTGGTAAGGAGAGTTATTGCCACTCACGCATGCGCAGTTCGTACGTGCTCGGCTGTAGTAAAGCGGTGTATTTCAGTGCGACACACGGCCAATACGCAGGAGAACTCGTCGATGGATCTGTCGGTGTCGGATGTCGGCGACTTCTCTGTTGACTGCCTGGTGTGTCAGGGCCTTAAGAGGTTAAATAAAGATATTAAATGTAAGTAGTAGTGAATGAATGTTTACAAACACCTGTGTGTGTAAACCCAGAGATGAAAGGTTACCATGGTGACGACTTATGACGATTTACCAACTGCAGCACTGAGTCCCATTAAGAATGCATTGAGGATTATATTTGACAATTTTGCCACCTGTTCAAAAACTATGGCTCCTATCAAAAAATTACCAGACCGTGAGCATCAGGGAACCCCAATGAACTGATATATGTTTGTTTTTTTGGTTTTGTGTGTAAAATGTGGAGATGGGAGCAGTTTGTCTAAAGTGTACTTCTCTCTGTTCTGAAGAAAGATCCGGAAAGATTTAACATGGGAATCAATTGGGAGCTAGGTGGACTTTTTGTCTCTTCATGCCCTCAAGAGGCATTTTGTTTAACATTTCTTCTTAATATTTTTTAATTTTCCAACCTAGGAGAGGTTTCCCTACGTTTTTCATGAAAAATGATGTTTGAGGAGTGTAGGGTTTGGGAATTATGGCAAGTTTAAAACATTTTTTTGGGGAGAATTTGAAGCACTGCTGCACTCTGTTTTGAGATCAAAGCACTCTAGACTTAACGAGCTGCTCCATCCACACTAATGTTAAAATCTGAAAAAGGCCTCTCTACCAAGCTCCAAACTAAGTTAAATATCTCAAAAAGTTTAAAAGATATGAAGAATCTGAATAACCAGTTCTATAGCTGAAGGTCTTGTGATCATTTGAAAGTTGGAATGAAGTGTCTAGCTGAAATTATGTGGAAGAAGAAGCATTTGGCGCAAAGTGTAGGAAAAGAGGATTTGAAGGCATCTCCCATTGACTTCAATGTTAAAAAAAAGAGTTTAAAAAGCTGAATATTTCAAAAAGTATAAAATATTTTTAAAAAGTTGAAGGTTTCCCATCGATTCCTGAACAGGCTGAATAGTTTGATATTTGAATGGATTCTGTAGCTGAAAGTAAGCTGAAGTTATGGAGAGCCAAAGTATTGGTGAAATAAGGGGAAGAATAAAGAATTGAAGTACTATAGTGGAATGCTGTAAACAGCATTCGCACTAATAAGGGGAAGAATAAAGATTTGAAGTACTATAGTGGAATGCTGTGGCACAGCATTCGCACTAATAAGGGGAAGACTAAAGATTTGAAGTACTATAGTGGAATGCTGTGGCACAGCATTCGCACTAATAAAGATTTGAAGAACTATAGTGGAATGCTGTGGCACAGCATTCGCACTAATAAAGAATCGAAGTACTATAGTGGAATGCTGTGGCACAGCATTCGCACTAATTATCTGAAGTCTGCTGCTCTGAGCATGTCAATTGGAGTTATGACATCATCGTGTTCCATGACACAGGTGTTTATATTTGAGCTAACGAGGTGTCCAGAGATCAAAGGTTTCCATTGTTCTGAATGAGAGATAAACCTCTTACATGTGAACGTTTTGTTGAAGAACCGTAACAGATATTGGTGAAATTTCAAAGCTTGAAGCATCTCAAGGACCTTGAGTATCTGAAGTGTGCTTTTTGTGTACTTTCGGGTCAATAATGTGGCCTTTTTGGCAGATTAACTAAAGGTGTGTGTGCGGCTGCTGCTGTGAGGAAATATTAGCCTGAAATTACAATGGGCTTTAATGGAGACATGTTGAAAGTTTTTGTCACTTCATGCCCTCAAGAGGCATTTTGTTTAATTATTTTTGCTTAATTATTTGTCATTTTTCAAGCTACGAGATGTTTTCCTACGTTTGTCATGAAAAATTATGTCTCAGGAATGTAGGGTTTGGGAATTATGGCAGTTTAAAAAAAAGATATGAAGGCAAATTTCAAGATTTCCTACACTCTAGCTGTGACATCACGCACTCTAGTTAATGTTAAAATCTGAAGAAGGCCTCTGTACCAAGGTCTGAACAATGTTTAATATCTCTAAAAGTAAGAATCAGATTTAAAAGTTGTGTTACACGAATAATGTCAGAAAGATGTGTAACATTTTAAAGTTGGAATGAGGTTTCTGAGTGAAAGTATGAAGGAACAGTTAGCAGTTGAAGTCGCATGAAGATTGTTCAAGTCTGAAGATTTTCTCCATTGACTTCAATGGTTAAAAATGTGATGAATTATGGGATATATTTCGGGAATTATGAAAGTTATGAATGAGAAAAGTAATAGCAATCGATTCCCGACCGAGCTGAATGTTTTGATGTTTGAACTGAGTTTCTGCGATGTGGAATGTGGTAGAAGAAGACCGGCAAAATAACGGGCGGAATAAAGATTTTGAAGAACAGATAGTTGGAATGCTGTATCAGCATTCCAACTATCTTACTAACTAAATTACCACAATAAGTAAAAAAAGAAAAAAGTCAGCATCGGTAACAGTTTAGGCCAAATTGTTACACTAAACATCAGCTTATAAATTATAAAGAAAAATGCATCTGCAAATAGGAGAGAACTGCTAACCTACTTAAATAGCTTATTGTGTATATACACCTTGGATATTAATCCTCACATACACAACAAAAACTGTAGTTCTAATAAATCTAGCTTATTTGAAAACGAATGCACCCTTACTTACAGTTGTTTGGTTTATTTGAAGCAAATGGACTTGGCTGTTCTGAGTTTGTGTCTGCATGTTTTACTGCACTTATTGTAAGTCGTTAGGGGTAACAGTGTCAGCTAAATGAAATATAATGTAATATGGCTGTTTTCCAGGTGCAGCACCGGATCACAGGCCAGGTGATGGCGCTGAAGATGAACACGCTGGCTAGCAACAAAGCTAACATGCTAAGAGAAGTGCAGCTCATGAACAGGCTCTGCCACCCAAACATACTCAGGTAGGTCACAAAGTGTTTATGCTGTCATTTAAAGTGGACCTATCATGCTATATTTAAATGATATATTGTAGGGCCATACCTATATAAGGTATATTTATACGTTTCTGTTTTCAAAATACCAAACAGATCATGCATTTTAGCCATGCCTCATTTCGCTCTATTTGCTGTTCTCCAGCCCTGTTTTTGCAGGGGGCTGATTCTGTGAGCTGCAGCTGACCACGCCCCCCTGCAGGAGAGGGGAGCGTGCTCTGATCAAGTCAGAAGAGGGGGAGAAAAATAGATCTCCGTCCTCCGTGTTTTATTATATTATTATATAGAGTCGTTATCCATTTGTTTTAAAGCTCAATAAATAACAAAGAAGACCTTTGACCGGCACTTTTCTAATTTTGTCCGGAAGATTTAAACTTTTAACGGACATCTTGACCAGGCGAACGAAAACCTAACTGAAACTCTGCCGCACGGTCCCCTCGTTCCTTGGAAGAGGCGGAGAGGTGGGTGTTTGTTATCTGCTGGTGGACTAACCGGAGAGAATTACAGTGCTTGCCTCGAAGGAGAGGGATTGCATTGAATTAAAGCAGCAGGAGCAAACGCTTGCCTCGGGGAGGGAGAAAAAAAGCCACAGCGGAGAATAAACAGAAGGGTAACCATGGCAACCATGCGCGGGAAGTCTTCTTCGCTGCTTTTGTGGCAGACTACAGCGCCACTTACAGGCCTGGCATATGTACTACAGCGTCTCCAGCGCTTTCGAGCGGCAATGGCCGGCCGTGGCCCAACCCCACATTCCCCTGATAGGTGGAGAGTTGGCCCAATAGCCATAGCGCCACCGTCCTGACGTCAGGACAGTGTTCAAATCTGGATCAGTTTTTATCAGATCCGTTGCAGCCCCTTTTTTAGAGATTTGGGTATGGAGGAAAATAGAGAGGGTTGTGTTTTCTGACACTTGGTGAGTTCCCTGGAACACCGGGGACACATATTCATGTATAAAAGACGAACAAAAGTGCATTTTGCATGATAGGTCCCCTTTAAGTAAATCAGTGAGTAAAGTCATTTTCCGTTATAGCTGCCATGTGCCTACTCATTAATGTGTGTAGCTTGTCTTTTTACTCAAAACAGTGATCAGGTTCAGTCTCTTTATCACACAGTGTTACCATGAAGGGTGAATGAGTCCAGGTGCACTCTGACGCACATTAACACGGATTATTAATAATAAATAAATAATACATTTAATTTATATAGCGCTTCTCATCTGCCAAGACAAATCTTGAAGCGCTTCACAACAAAGGACACTGATACAATTAGAAAGATAAAAAAAGCAGAAGGCTCGGTCTCCCATTGTTCGGAGACGTGTGCGGGGGAGGTAAAGAAGAGGAGCGTGGCTGGAGCGGAGAGAGCGGGTAGATGTCTGGGTACGGATGAGGTCACAGAGGTATTTTGGGCTTTGGCCATTCAGGGCTTTGTAAGTGAGGAGCAGAACCTTAAACTGGATCCTGTAGTGGACTGGGAGCCAGTGTAGTTGTGCAAGTATGGGGGTTATGTGTGCAGACCTTTTTGCACCGGTGAGAACTCTGGCTGTACTGTTCTGGACAAGTTGCAGGCGGTTGATGGATTTGGCTGGGAGACCGGAGAGGAGTGCATTGCAATAATCTAGTCTTGAGAAGACGAGTGCATGAACCAGTTTTTCAGTGTCATCAGTTGAGAGTGAGGGCTTCAGTCGGGAAATGTTTTTCAGGTGAAAGAAGGAGGTCTTGGTGATGTGTTTGATATGGGCTTGGAAAGACAGAGTGGGGTCAAACCTTACACCAAGGTTGGTGACAACAGAGGAGAGAGAAATGAGCTGACCATCGAGGGAGGGGCTGATGAGGGCGGCCTTGGCAAGCTGGTCGGTGGTGCCTATCAGGATTGCCCCTGTCTTGCTGCTGTTGAGCTGGAGGTAGTTGGTGGTCATCCAGGAGCGGATGTCTTCCAGGCAGGTGTTTGTATAGTATTGGTGGTATTGGGTTGTGTTTTGATATAGACCTGGGTGTCGTCAGCATAGCAGTGGAAGTTGATGTTATGTTGTCTGATGATATTATTGATCTGTTCACACAATTCATATTGAGACAAATCTACCTCCATAGATGTATTTCCAGTTAGTCACACTTTGTGAATTGTCTTTGGAATTCAGTGTTGCCTGTAATCACAGTTTGACTTTAAACAATGAACAAGAAGAATATAATAATAACTGTTATAATAAGTGGTCCTACACTGTCATCACAGCACCACTCTGTCCCAAACCAGAGCGGAAAGACAATGCAGGTTACCAGGGCAACCAGCAGTATATTTGGACTAGGAACATTTATAGTAGAGCTCCTCAGCCCATGACAGCCATCAGAAGTAGCCCAACGATGAGTGATGGATGTATACACATGCTATCATAGGTGCTGAACGAGATGATGCAGTGCTAAATGATCAGACCCAGAGGCTCCAGGAGGCTACGTCCAAGCACTCAACGCCTTGAGCATCATTTTTACTTTCCAGCTCTGTTTAACCCTGATACTAGAGTGTGGTCTACAGTGTTTTAAATCCTCTGCCTGCCTCTGTCCTCAGGTTTCTCGGGGTGTGTGTGCATGAAGGTCAGCTCCACGCTCTGACGGAGGTAAAAACATCACTCTCTACTTTAATAATATCACATTTCTTGAGCTTTTAAAAATGGTTGCTGTATCCTTTTGAGTCTCTTTCTTTCATTCTTAGATTCACTCACACACAAACACACACACAATCACACATGCAGCTGCTAGAATGGCTGATGCATGATGCTGTACCAAACTGCTGATGTGTACATGGTGTGCAGATGTTACCGTGGTTACTACACAGTACCCGTCCTCTCCCCCTGTTTACTGTATCAACAATTAGCCTATGAAAACTACCTGTGTAGTAGTATAATAAACCATCTATTCTATAGTAGCTCTTCTCATGTCGCAGTATATATATATATATTATATTACAGTAGAATATTTAATATTATTGTAGAATGTATCACACAACGGCCGAATGTACCATGTTACAGTATAATATATCATATTACTGTAGAATACTTCTTGTTACAATAGAATGTTTTATGTCACAGAATAATATTTCTCACCCAAAGAATAACCGTGGTTCATGAACATAAAGGGAATTGTTTTAAATCAGTGAGTTCCTAAGAGATGTCAGCAGTCACCCAGCAGGTGTCTGATCTGTGTCTGATGTGTCCCTGCAGTACATCAATGGAGGCAGCCTGGAGCAGCTGCTGGACAGCGACCTGCACCTGTCCTGGGCCGTCAGGATGGGGCTGTCCCTGGACATCGCCCGGGGGCTGCACTACCTGCACAGCAAGGGCATCTTCCACAGAGACCTCACCTCCAAGGTAACCAGGAGGAGAGGCAGAGTGTGGAGCGGGAGGGCTGGGGGGGGGGGGGCTGCCATGACGCTGTACTGAAGCCACTAACTGTTGCTAGGAGATGTTTAAACACAACATTAAACGCACCATGAGTTAAATCTTACAGTAGCTCGCTGATTTAGAGCGGTGAGGGGGCTCTGAGAAATATCTGAAGTATTGGCCAGTCAAATGAATGCACGCCTTCCTGCTGGATGACTCACAATCCTCAGGGGGGGGGGCCGATGTCCCGGTTCTAGTGAGTTTACGACCCGTTCACAGTTCAGAACACATTATTTATCTCTTTATCTGGACAAATACAGCTATCGGCATTGCGAGACAAGAGTTTAGTGAGTGTTTTGTGACTGTTTTGTTTGTGTGCAGAACTGTTTGGTGCGCTGTGACGGCGGTGTGTTCACGGCGGTGGTGGGAGACTTCGGCCTGGCAGAGAAGATCCCTGATTACAGGTCAGACAACACCTTTATCAAAAAGCTCACTCTTTCTGATGCAAAACTTTACTCGTCTCTGACTTCATAACCGACCATTAATTAGTGAATCATTAAAAATGTATTCAACATTTTTCATTAGATAAGCCTTTTAACTTCCTGAAAAGCCATCAGCCTAGACAGACTGAAGTGTCTGTTAAAGGCTGTAGCAGGCTCAGATTTAAAGCAATAGTTCTTTGAATCTAGCTTAGCTTGTTAGGAAATGCCTAAATAACGCTCCGGAGTTAGTCTGATTTTGGCGAGGGAAAAACGTTGTCATAATAAGTTCAAATATCTTATATAATATAACCCACTACAACAATAAAGAATTGAAGAGGACCACAGTGTGGATACGTGACCTCTCAGCTCAGACATATTGCTTTAGATTCAATGTGTTGCACACTGGTATATCAAATAGTGCATCTAGAACATGGAAAGTGTTCTGAATGGGTCACAGCCCTACATGCAGCTATTGAGCAGAGGTTGAGGAAACATGCTGTCTCTGCAGTGATGGAGGGGGGGAAGCAGCCTCTGGCCATCGTGGGCTCCCCCTACTGGATGGCACCTGAAGTTCTGAGAGGAGAGCTGTACGATGAGAAGGTAAACCCAAAACACACACACAACGCACGCACACACACACACACACACACACACACACACACACACACACACACACACACACACACACACACACCACACACACACACACACACACACCCCCCGCTGGAGTACATTGCAGATTCAGAGCAATTTTAAGTTATAAACACACCCTTGGTCATATTAGTCCTTTAGGGGCTTAAAGTGGACCTATCATGCTATATTTGAATAATATAGTGTAGGACCATACCTATATAAGGCATATTTATACTTTCTTTTTTTCAAAATACCAAACAGATCATGCATTTTAGCCATGCCTCATTTCGCTCAATTTGCACTTTTTTACCCCTGTATTTGCAAGGGCAGATTCAGTGAGAACAGCACCATCTAGAGGCCTGGCATATGTACTACAGCATCTCCAGCGCTTTCGAACGGCAATGGCCGTGGCTGTCTCCTCTTGATTGGTGGAGTTGGCCCAATAGACGTAGCGCCACTGTCCTGACGTCAGGACAGTGTTCAAATCTGGATCAGTTTTGATCGGATCCGTTGCAGCCCCTTTTTTAGAGATTTGGGTATGGAGGAAAATAGAGAGGGTTGTGTTTTCTGACACTTGGTGAGTTCCCTGGAACACCGGGGACACATATTCATGTATAAAAGACGTACAAAAGTGCATTTTGCATGATAGGTCCCCTTTAAGTTAGCTAATTAAGATATTACTGACTACCACAAATGTGCTACTTTTATAATACGTTCAGAGTGTCCAGGATGTTAGGCCCTTTGTAAGTATCTGTAGATGGGGGCCGACACAGATTTTTAAAATGACTAATGTCCGGCGGGGTTGCAATACACAGGGGTCAAGATAGTGGGATACGTATACTGTATGTTTCAGAAATGTTTAATGCCTTGACCTTTATCTCAACAATAGTTGGGCCTTAACTGGGCATAACTAAAACAAAACTAGGCTGAAAGTAAAAATAATTCAACTTCTCTCATCAACTTTTCAGAGTATTAGCACTACCAGAAGCTCTAAGCACCGAACTGTTCATATTGGTATCAATCCTCCACTCCCCCAGCACTGTGTGAAATGTAGTTTGAGCCCTGACCTAACTTCCTGTCCTGTGCTCAGGTGGATGTGTTTGCGTACGGCATCATCCTGTGTGAGATCATCGCCCGCATTGAAGCTGATCCAGACTTCTTACCCAGGACAGAGGTACCTGTCATGTATCTTCCTCACACACAAACATGGTGCTCCTTTTATGTGGTATAGATAATCGTTCTGATGTAAATACTATTGAAACTGTGTTTATCCAGATAAAGGATACTTCAGTGTGCAGTGAGAGGAGCTGAATAGGCAGTTTTCCTGTATTTCTAATGCCAGTTTAATGCTACTGCATTAAAGCAATAGCAACAACATGCATGCTAGGATGATACTGTCATACATAACCCGTGTTTGGTGGTGCATACTCCATACAGTTTTCAGTGATATCATTTCATATTGGCAACAAGTTGTTGAGGAATCAGTGTATGACACTGTCTGTGTTTCAGGACTTTGGTCTGGACGTGGATGCATTTGAGAACCTGGTTGGGGATTGTCCAGCTGCGTTCTTCAGCCTGGCTGTCACCTGCTGTAATGTAAGTACACACACACACACACACACACACACACACACACACACACACACACACACACACACACACACACACACACACACACACACACACACACACACACACACACACACACACACACACCACACACACACACACACACACACACACACACACACACACACACACACACACACACACACACACACACACACACACACACACACACACACACACACACACACACACACACACACACACACACACTGCAAGGTAATGGAGGCTGTGTGTGTGTAATCTAAGTGTGTCTTTGTGTGGTTGTTTTCAGATGAGTGCACAGCAGCGTCCCTCGTTCTCTCACATTGTGTTCACACTGGAGGGCATGGAGAGGGAGGAGGAGAAGGAGAAGCCCCTTGCACTTGGTAAAACCCCCAAACTGTTTTTTCTTTTAAATGTCTCCTTTCAATGTGTGTTACGTATTTTTACACAACTGTTCATATGGTTAAAACAGCTTTCTAATGCCTCTTACACACCAAACTGACACCAAAGAACACGTCCCGACGGAAAGTCGCCTCACGTCGCCTCACGTCGCCTCACGTCGCCTCACGTCGCCTCACCTCGCCTCACGTCGCCTCACGTCTCCTGCGTCTTGGCCATGTGTCACACTGGAACACACCGCAAAGACTTCAGCCGATGGCCAAGTTGCACGTACGGCACTGCACATGCGTGAGTGGCAAAAACTCTCCTTACCAGCAGGCAGCGGTAGTGTGTATTCGTCATTCAAAAGAGGCAACAACCGGAAGACAGACTGCGTGATAACCGAGAAGAAGAACAGACTGCGTGATATAAACAAACAACAAATAGCGTGTGCGTTCCATTTTCACTCTACAACAAGAAGCTCATGGGGCTTTCCCCAACCTGTGTCGAGAGCTGGAGTTAAATTAAATCGTTTGTTTGGGTCCCTCACTTCTGTTTCGCTTCTCATGCACTGATTCGCTAAGCTGAACAGCCAATCAGAGTGATTTCTTTGGCCGACGGCCTCCCGATTCAACATGTCGAATGTTGAATGGCGGCGGAAGGTGGCGGAAGGTGTCGGCACGGCCGAAAAGACACGACGGTGCAGTACACACCAATCTGAGTAGGGCGACACTACACTCATCGACGACCCGACATCTATCAACGCCGATAATCAGCTCGGTGTGTAAGGGGCTTAAGAGTGATCTGGATTGTAATTTATTCTTATTTTATTCTTTATTTATTATTATTATCCTTCTTTTATTTTATTTAGTCGTGCGTTGGTATTTAGTGTTCTCTTAAATCACAAAGCTACAGTATGTGTTACCTGGGAAGAAAGTATTGTTTACATTTTTTGTAAATTGTCTATATGTTTGGTTTGTGAAACACTTTGTTTAAGAAAAGTGCTATATAAATAAAGTTTGATTTGATATTTGTTACAAAGACTCTCAAAATCAGATTATCAAGCAGGAGCCCTAATGATATGAGCTACAATTGTGAAGTGGAGCTTGTTTTACAAACATTGTTTTGTTCTGTTCTGTAAACTGTAGGATTTTTAGATCTGCAATGTTTACATATCGTGAAGTAGTAACCTGCCTGCATGGAGATCATCACGCAGTCATTGATGTGCTCTGAACTCAGTATAGAGAGGCTTTAACTCACAAGAGTGAGCTTATAAAGGCTGAATATCATCAGACGTTTGTTGAATCCTGGGAGTCCTCCCCTAAATCTGCTTTCTGTTACCGGTAAAAATTACTCCTAGAACCGAGAATCTTAAACATTTACCAAGACAGCTTCTCTGGACCTCATTAACAGCTAATTCAAAGCATTCCGTGTATGAATACAAGTGGTATGAGAATATAAAAGCAAACAGCATGACAGTATTGTTGATATTTTGGTTCATTTCAGTTTTTGCTCTTTTCTATTGTTGTAGTTGTTGTTTTAAAAGTAGTACCACCTGTTCTTAATTTCTCACTCTGTCACCCCCCCCCCCCCCTCCCCTCAGAGTCACTGTCAGCAAACGCCAGCCCTTACCGGCGCCACAGCTCCCCTTGTCACCCAGGCAACCGCAGCCAGCGACGACAGGGCTTGGCGAGGAGCCAGTCGGACGTGTTACCCCCGGCGACTCTGAGCTCTCCTCTCCTCGGGACCCCTGCACGGGTCAACCCCTTCTCCCTCAGGCAGGACCTGAATGGGGGGCGCTGTAAACTCTTGGATACTCCCAGCAAGTCGGTCATCTCGCTGACCTTCACCCTACCTGCCCTGCGGGACCCCTGCTCCTCCCCCCACCTCCTCAGAGCGCTGCCCCGGAGATGCCGGTCCCTGCCCTGCACTCCTGAGCTCAGCCGGACTGTAGCCTCACTGAGACATACTGGGGGGAGGGAGGAGGAAGAGGAACAGGACGTCAGGGTGGAGGTTGACAGGAGGGAGACTGGTGTGAGGTTTCAGGTGGAGCAGACAGAGATACGTGAGAGGAGAGAGCTGCTTCAGGAGGATGTAGGTCTGTCTGTGGAGCTGGAGATGATGTCTCTGGAGCGGCTGGAGGAGGAGGAGGAGGAAGAGGAGAAGAGGCGATGTCTGACCGAACCCATGGACTGTACCAAGTCTCCTGAGTCCGCAGACTCCACACAGACCAACGGCTGGCCGCGTCCCATCTCCTACGGCCAACCCCCCCTGCCTGCTCTGCTACAAGTGGACAACAACAACGGCTCCGCCCTCGTGATAGGTCAGCAGGTGCAGTGGGGGAGAGGGGGGCGGGCTAACAGTTACAGCACAGCGCCCAATCAGTCCTCGGACGCCGGCGGCCCCTCTGAGCCGGATGAGGTAATTTCCTGTCCAGGATGCTGTCTGGTGGGTCTGACTTTTCCCTCAGTGTGCCTCCGTGGAACAGCCGCGATGCCCATCCCCCGCCAAAGGGCTTCGTTACCACGGCAGCAACCCTACCGGAACCTCAATGGTACCATAACCGGGGTCAGTGTGTCCTCGTCGACAACAGCCGCCACGGCAACCAAAGCTCTGCTGTGTCGCAGCACCAATGGACTGACAAGGGGAGGGGCGCCAGTCCCATGTGAGCCCAGCCGCTCCCTGCCCGAGGCCCAGACATAACTCTGAGTGCATTGGCAGTACATGTTAGCGACACACACTAGATGCTGCTACGCTCACACTGAGCCTCTGACCTGTTGTTAGTGCTGTGCTAACAACAGGGCCTGCTGAGGGGGGGGGCACATCACTCTGCTCCTCCACACACAGGGACCCACCAGATCAAAGTGTGTGGCTCATTTGACCTGCACTATGGTTTATTGAAACTTGCTCTTATTTTGGTAGTTGTGGTTATCATCTGTATTCAGAGTGATCCCAGAGATCTGTGAACATGTGACATTAAGAAAGAATAGTCCTACTTATTTGAAGGACAGTTAAATGACTAATGGACGCTGGCTTCGTTTCATTGTACTATAGTGATGTCACCCTGTTCACACTTCTCCACAATTACTTAAATAAGTATAGATATATGGCCAAAACTACAACATCATGTTAACCCTAACCCCTTTTGGTAAATCATTGTCCGTCCATTTATGGAGGAAGTTTAAGAGAAATAAAAAATAATGTTGTTCTGCATGGCAGCCTCTGTGCTGATCACACTGCAGTGTGGAGCCCAGCTCAGTGTGGCTGCACACACACCGTGCTGCTCTGCTCTTCATTCTGACTCTATAGCAGCTATAGCTCTAGGATTTACTTCCTACATTTTTATAGAAGGTGTGTGTGTGTGTTTACCTGTTTTTGGGGACCTAAGTGATAATAATGTCAAGTAAATTGTGTATTTTTGCACTTGAGTTTGGTACACTTTGCAGTGAGACACCAGACTTTTCACTAAATGGTGCTTTCCTATGTGCTACTGATGTTTTATAAATGTGTGTGTACTTCCGAGCCAACAAACTACACAAACCTTTCATACTTTGACTGGAACACTACTCCCCCATTCCCCCCAATGTATCTGTGTGTACATGTTTTTTTTATTACATGTGAAGCAGGTATGCATAATTATTGTACAGATCATTTCTCACACTGTGTGTGTGTGTGTGTGTCAAAATATGTTAATAATTTAAGAAATTATAAACCTAAGTTCCTAACTGATGAAAGTATGTTAATGCAAGTCTAATAACACTCTTTTATTATTCATCACTGTATTATCAGTTGTCTTTTTTAGATTAAATGGACCTGCTCACTCATTACGTATATATTAACCTATACTGAAATTCCGTTTCCACACTTTTTTATACACAGATGGTACAAATACACAAATATATGGCCAACAAAACCATGAATTTTGCTTTTAAAATGACAAAAAACGTCCTTAAAATTATGTTACATAAACAGCACAACACATGCAGTGAAATCTGCATTAGTCTCTGCATTTTAATGGCAATCCCAGTATTAGGAGTAGCCTAGTGGGCAAAGCTCTCAACGCTCCAGTCCACACCACTTTGTCCAATTGGGGAATTGAACCAGCGACCATCCTGTTCCAAAGTAAAGTCCTTACAGACTGTCGCCTGTACATGTCATCGAACAAAATAAAATGTTTGCCACTGCTATAACATTAATCCATATGAAAGCAATTGCCAGCATACCCCTCTGGATATTTTTACCATGTCAACAAATAATATTTTTACACAGCTCTGTATTGTAAGATAAAAAAAATGTAGTTTTAACTGAAAGGAGATAATACAGAGGTTTCTGTTTGGTGTGTACAGTGGAATGGAGTAGAGGCTTTTATTCCTAAACAATATCAATCTACATTAAAAAGTATTAATCTTCCTATCATAATTCTTTATTGGCCAGAAATGCAATATTAAATCACATAAGACCACATGTAAAGGCAGGAGCTCTAAGTTTGGGCAGCTTTCAAACGAAGTGCAAGAGTCCAGTGATATACAGTTTATGGTGCAGTGCCTTGCTTAAGAGCACTTCTCAATGTTCTAGTCCACACCACTTGGTCCAATCGGGGACTTGAACCAGCGACCTTGCTGTTACCAAGCCAAGTGCCGACAGCCTGCTCTGAGCAGTCTGAGTCACATAGGGTGTCGGCTCTGTTTTGGCGCCACCCTCTGGCCTCTGTCTGCTTTAGAATGTAATTGAATAATAAATAGCCCGTGTAGTTAGGGTGTAGCTTTGATGTAGCGTTTGTGTAGCTAGTATTACTACAGACTTTAGCTGCTAGCATTACTACAGACTTTAGCTGCTAGCTGCTGGCCACACGACGCAAACGCCAGGCGCGTGTCCGCTGAGGAGGACACGCTCTCGCGCATCAAGCATCACGGGCCACGGCAGAGCCATTTTAGCTGCTCATCGCTCGCGGGACACCTGGGACGGGCGGGACAGAGACTCACAGGGAGAACCAGGAAAACGCATGACTGTGTCACACTGTGAGAAGAGAAGCGACATGTCCTCGCTGCTGTCCCTGGTGTAGAGAGGCTCCACCGGCGGCACTAACGGTACGTACCGCCACTCTCACCGGCCTGTGGTCGGGATGCTGAGGGGATGGGAGGGTCTCTGTGTTTGGACCATTGGAGCAGGGAGGTGCCTTCTGTCTTTTACTGCAGTAACAACAAATCCTCTGCGCTTTACTGTCCACCCTGTTTGGACTTTAGAATGAACAAATGCTCATTTTCATTACAGTGTCCAAAAGAATCCGTGTATCTACCGTCCAATTGTTTTTCTTTATTAAACACGTAAACGGAAGAGCGTCTGAGAGGCGTTTTTGCTTTTTGCTCTTTACCTTACTAAATGGTCAAATGGTCCTTGGAGCGAGGGGCGGGGCTTGTTTTGAAGTGATTTCAAAACAAAAGCACTCGTTTGCTAAAATCACACTTTGAATCACTACAGTATCCTGCTGAAGGAACGGTGATTATTATAAACAAGGGGAATTTAGCGATCACAACGAAAACCGCCAAGACACATATTGAGCCCAGAAAATTGATGTTATTAAGGGCTGTAAATATAATAAGCCTATGTCTAAAATGGACAACATTGTTAGGAGATTTAAACTATACAGCGGTTCTGCAATGCGGTCAACTCAGCCGCCTCTCGAGTTTGTTTTTTCAAATCAGCTGCTCTTCATTATTCCTGCTATATTTGACGAGTGATACAAATATTTGTTACCACAAGTTCTTAAGGAAACTGACACTGTTGGACTCGGTTCTAGTTTGACTTCTACCAGAAATAAAATGAAGTATTTTTACTGTGTACTTTGTGAGTAATCCTCTGTCAAAGTCCCCTCCATAATGCATGTTTTTCTGCTATCTTTGATGAATGATAAAAATATAATTTTACCATTACTTCTTAATGAAATTGATACTGTTTGACTTTGTATTAACCTATACTTACAATACATTGAAGTACTTACTGTGTATTTTTTGAGAAATACTCTGTCAATGTCCCCTGCTGAGAACAAAATCAAGCCACTTCTGCTAAGTTTGATGAGGGAATTCTTTTTTGTTGCCATTAGTTCGTGAGACTGATCCTGTTGGACTCAGTACTAGTGAAACTACCCCCACAAGTACTATGAAGTACTTACTGTGTACTTTTCCAATAATCCTCTGTCAATGTCCCCTCCTGAGAACAAGAATGCATGTTTCTCTGCTATTTTGAATAAGCGTTAAAAAACCTTTCTTCATGAGACTTATATTGTTGGACAGAGTATTTTAAGAGGATATGGTAGACATGATATTAGCAATACTTCCAGTCAGTACTCCGGCAGCAGTTTTTTTCACTTTGGAAAGTCTTTAGAGTCTGGCCTGGATAGCTGGTCTATCCTTCAGCACACTGACACGCTCTGTCACTCTTGTTGGCCTCTTATGATGCTGCCGTCTTTTAATATATGATTATTTCTCAGCCGCTAGTTCGTTCCTCACAGATTCTTCAGTCTCATCAGCCTCATCCTTCCATCAGTCCCCTGCAGTCAACGCATCAGCCTCCAGCACACTTCCAGTGTCTGACTCCATATGATATTGTCCTGATGCTGTAAGGGTGATGCCCCATGATCACAAAATGACCCCTCTAGAGTCTGAGTGCCAAGGACCTCATATTATATATGTCATTAATGTTACATCACCCATTATAACACTTTGCTTTCCTTTTTTCTCTTCTCTTAACTGAATAGCCCTGTCTTTAAGTATAATACAATGTAAAGTCCTTTTCCTGCACCATTTTAAGGCTTCAAAACAGGCATTTTTACTGTATGTGTTTGGAGAAATGACAATAAATGGCCCAGAATTGTACTTTATAAACTCTGAATATTGTGGTGCTTGAAGAAATACAGACTGGCTAAGCCAGCCAGGTTATATGCCTTTTTTGGAGCCCTTTTTTGCTATATGTATTAAAATGTCACTAGTTATTTAAACAAACCACTATCTGAGGATAATACAAGCAACCATAAAACACCCTTTATCTAGAGAGCCATTGAAGCCCATGAAGAATTTATCCTTCCACAAATCTTTTCACTGCCGATACAGCATTCCAACTATATGTTATTCTACGGACCAAATTTGTATTATTCCGCCGGAATTTTGCACCTCTTCTCCTCCTGCATTCAACATCGCAGAAACTCCGTTCAAACATCAAAACGTTCAGCTCGGTCGGGAATCGATGGCTATCATTTGGATTATTCATAACTTTCATAATTCCAGAGATACATCCCATAATTCATCACATTTTTAACCATTGAAGTCAATGGAGAAAATCTTCAGACTTGAACAATCTTCATGCGACTTCAACTGCTAATTCATACTTTCACTCAGAAACCTCATTCCAACTTTAAAATGTTACACATCTTTCTGACATTATTCGTGTAACACAACTTTTAAATCTGATTCTTACTTTTAGAGATATTAAACATTGTTCAGACCTTGGTAAAGAGGCTTTCTTCAGATTTTAACATTAACTAGAGTGCGTGATGTCACAGCTAGAGGGTAGGAAATCTTGAAATTTGCCTTCATATCTTTTTTTTAAACTGCCATAATTCCTAAACCCTACATTCCTGAGACATCATTTTTCATGACAAACGTAGGAAAACATCTCGTAGCTTGAAAAATGACAAATAATTAAGCAAAGATAATTAAACAAAATGCTTCTTGAGGGCATGAAGTGACAACAACGTTCAACATGTCTCCATTAAAACCCATTGTAATTTCAGGCTGATATTTCCTCACAGCAGCAGCCGCACACCTTTAGTTAAACTGCCAAAAGGCCACATTATTAACCCGAAAGTACACAAAAATTACACTTCAGATACTCAACTTCCTTGACATGCTTCACGTTTTGAAATTTCACAGATATCTGTTATGGTTCTTCCACAAAACGTTCACATGTAAGAGGTTTATCTCTCAATCAGAACAATGCAAACCTTTGATCTCTACGAGCTCGTTAGCTCAATTATAAACACAGCTGTGGAAGGAACACGCGTGAGGGCGTTCGTTCATCACGAGGGGAGGTGCGAGTATGGAGAACGAGAGAGAGAAGGAGAGGAGGAGTAGAGGAGGAGGAGAGAGAGAGAGTCGAGAGAGAGAGAGAGAGAGAGCGAGAGGAGGAGAGCCCGAGAGAGAGAGGAGAGAAAGGGAGAGAGAGGGAGAGAGAGAGAGGCGCAGAGAGATAGAGACGAGAGAGAGAGAGAGAGACGATGAGAGAGGAGAGAGCGCGACGAGAGAGAGAGAGAGAGTCGAGCGAATGAGAGAGAGAGAGAAGGAGATATTAGGAGCCGCCGAGAGATATAGCAGATTGAGCGAGAGATCTCTAGAGTCTAGCTCTCTCCTCTCTATCTCTTATCTCTCTCTCTGCAATCTCTCTCTCTCTCTCTCTCTATCTCTCTATCTCTCTCTCCTCTCTCTCGCTCTCTCTCTCGCTCTCTATATCTCCTCTCCTCTCTCTTCTCTCTCTTCTCTCTCTCTCTCTCTCTCAAAAGTGCTCAAAATTCACATTGTGTGCTAACAGTCCAGACGTAAAAGACATATACGAGGCCAGTTTTTGAGATTTCTTCAAATGCCGTTGCCATGGCAACACAATGCTCTCTGATGTCGCTGTAAGTCCAATGGAAACGGTCCCGATCGTCCCCCAAACTTCGCTTGTATTATCCACCGGTCCAGCCCTCAACAGCTCTACGTCAATTATGGGGTTTCTTCAAATGCCGTTGCCATGGCAACACAATGCTCGCCATGACACACGGTTTTCTCATAACTTCAGTGAAAAGTTCCAAACGGCCCAAAACTTCACAGGTTTGGTAACGATGCAGCCATCAACGCATCTAAGCGTATTATGGGGTGTCATCAAATGCCGTTGCCATGGCGACAGATCATTCACCATCAAGTTAGTTCAAAAGTTTGCAGTTCAAATATTCTGCTGCTTTTCCAAGCCTTTTTACTTTCTTTTCTTCTCTCATCACACATTCAAGCCCCCAGTGTTCATGTATCATTTCAATCTAAATTCTTCACTTTCTTCTTACACATTACATTTCAGCATAGCAGTTTAGTGTCAGCTTTTCAGCATAAAGCATTCCCACTAGCAATTTCTTCAGGAATTGCATTCTCTAGTTTTTAATATATTTCCTTGAGGCTGGGGAAGATATATCAGCATGTAGTTCAACATGCAAATGTTCTAATGCAAGTAAGTATAAGTACATGGAAAAGGAAATAAAATACATTTCATAGGAGGATGTGGATCTATTTTCTCTCACTAATTTAGCTCTGGCCTTCACTCACAAAAAAACATTTTGTTGAATTGGACACATTTTTCGAAGCTCTATTGACTGACATGCAATGACTGGGACTGATGGAAGAATCTGCGAGGAATGAACTAGGAGCAGAGAAATAATCATATTTAAAAGACAGCAGCTTCATAAGAGGCCAACAAGAGTGACAGAGTGTGTCAGTGTGCTGAAGGATAGTTGTGACCAGCTATCCAGGCCAGACTCTAAAGACGTTCCAAGGGGTAAAATGCTGCTGCCGGAATAGCTACTGACTGGGAGTATTGCTGATATCAAGTCTACCATCCTCTTAAAATACTCTGTCCAACAATATCAGTCTCATGAAGAAAGGTTTTTTTAACGCTTATTCAAAATAGCAGAGAAACATGCATTCTTGTTCTCAGGAGGGGACATTGACAGAGGATTATTGGAAAAGTACACAGTAAGTACTTCATAGTACTTGTGGGGGTAGTTTCACTAGTACTGAGTCCAACAGGATCAGTCTCACGAAGAACTAATGGCAACAAAAAAGAATTCCCTCATCAAACTTAGCAGAAGTGGCTTGATTTCGTTCTCAGCAGGGGACTTTGACAGAGTATTACTCAAAGAATACACAGTAAAAGTACTTCAATGTATTGTAAGTAGTAGGCTAATACAAAGTGAAACAGTATCAATTTCATTAAGAACTAATGGTAAAATTATATTTTTATCATTCATCAAAGATAGATAGCAGAAAAACATGCATTATGGAGGGGACTTTGACAGAGGATTACTCTAATGATTATTACTAATATGTGTCTTGGCCGTTTTCGTTGTGATCGCCAAATTCCCCTTTGATTATAATAATCACCGTTCCTTCAGCAGGATACTGTTGTGATTCAAAGTGTAATTTTAGCAAACGAGTGCTTTTGTTTTGAAATCACTTCCGTGAGTTTCGCCCCGCCCCTCGCTCCAAGGACCATAGAGTGGCGAAGTCCCTCCCCTTCCGGTTGAGCCCCATGGGACCTTATTTCGGAAAAGTTATGCATTGAAGTCAATGGAGAGAGAAAGATTATCTTTCGATCCCGTTTGAATTGTGCCACGAATTACACATATGATGTTGTCAATTTAAAAGATAATTTTGCAAGTCAAAAAAATTAAAATGTGTCGTAAAACTGTGAAGTAACACATTTGTTTGTGTGAAAGGCTCAATGAACTACATCTCTGGTCAACCACACACGTCACCAAGATGGCCGTTACTACTGTCTTGTCAACAAACGATTGACTATCACCACAATGAAACACGTCCTGAAGAATGTCATGCAAAGCCTGCCTTCCTTTGATTCTCTCTGAACTGCCTGGTCGTTTTAATGTTTAATGTCAACCATTGTGCAGATAGCATGAAGTAGAAAAGATCGCCGATGCTAACGTTAGCGTTAGCATTTCTCCCCCCGGAATTAAATGGTGTATTATAGAATGATCACACCGGTGACAGTACTATTCAAAGGGTTCACGAAATATGACTACTACTCTTACTGTTTAACATTTTGGGTTACTTAATGTTACTTCATGTTAAGGCTAATAAAAATGACAAGGCTGTAATGCTAACTAACGTGCTAGCTACTAGCTAGGTAGCTAACTTGATCAAGCCACTCCTGGTCGTTTCATCAGACGGGAAGCAAAAGAACGAGCAAGACCCATTGCTGGTATAATAACAACCTGGTACTAAGCACACAGGCATCTTGTTAAAGTTATCTTATCTTAGCCAGCGCCATATAGATAGATTATATCTATATTGCGCTGATCTTAGGTATCTGAATGGGGGAGGTAAACAATTGTGACATCACTTACGCGACTCTGGGATTTGTAGTCTTTCTAGTTACGTATTTTTCAGTCTTATATTTCAACAGTTTTACGACAAACTGTGACTTTTTTTGACATGGAAATGATTTTTTTAAGATTGACAAACATCATATGTGTAATTCATGGCACAATTCAACGGGATCGAAGATAAGTTTTCTCTCCCCATTGACTTCAATGCATAACTTTTCCGGAATAAGGTCCCATAACCCCGGAAGTAAGTGGGAGGGACTTCGCCACTCTATTTGACCATTTAGTAAGGTAAAAAGCAAAAAGCAAAAACGCCTCTCAGACGCTCTTCCGTTTACTTGTTTAATAAAGAAAAACAAATGGACAGTAGATACACGGATTCAAAAGCCACTGTTTTCATGTGAGGATGTTTGGCTCTGTTTGGCTGTCAACACTGGAGGAGAATACATGCACATGGGTCATTCCACAGTTGGAAGACAATTTAACATAAGAACTTTTGAAAAATGAACCCTTTACCCATATTTGTATTATGTATTTGAGAAAAAAAAAGAACTATTTAATCTAACTATAAATATAAAACACAGTTGTGTTCATTTTGAGTTATTGTTAAGAAAATCAAATGCTAACATTAGTGTTACCTCTTAATGCTAGCTGCAGAATACAATGCTAGTTTTGATATATTCAATAATTTGAAACCACTTTTCCTACAAATGTATTTACATTTTATCAAAGGCCAATTATATTTATTGAACACAACAAATGCATGTTTTAGCTTTTTGGACATGGGTTATTGGAAAATTCTGGAAGGACCCACATGCCATTACTTTTGCATAGATATGAAAAATAAATCTGGATAAAGAATGTAGGCTTTGATTACATTTCATCGCATATGCTGACTGAAGGTCCTCAACATCTAAGATAATCTATTAATAATAGTTACTTGAAATATTTCAACTTTTTAGGAAATCAATAGGAATAATAACTGTATTGGTGTCACTCTGCTGTCATTTCCACACTTCCTGAAAGCATGACCCTGTCTCTGTGTGTCTGTCAGTGGGGAGGACAGTGATGACAACACTTCCCATTTCCTAACCAGATTACCATGGCATCAGGAAGAAAAGGTAAGTTTGACCCGTGCCTTCATACCTAGCTGACAGTCATGAAAAACAAACATTTACATGAGACATAATTATTCCTGTTTCTATTTGCCATTCCTCGAGAATTTGTGTTGAGTTTATTTCACTTCCTGCTCTACAGGAATGTATAAAACCTTCATGATTTTACTTTTTTGAACACCTTGTTGTATTTTTCTATTCATTATAATCATATATCCACCTCTCCGTCACCAGGATCCACCTCGAAGGCCGGTGGGGTGCGTTTCCCTGACGACGACGACGAGCCCCCCGGCTCTCCGTCACGGAGAGACGACGAGTCCAACCTCAGTACCCTCATCGCTGTGCTGGAGAAGGATGGAGGCTACCTGGTCAAGGTGTGTGTGTGTGTGTGTGTGTTTATGTTTTCACATGAAGCAGCTTTACAATTTGATAAGGGCAGTGGTGTAAAGTAACTAAGTACATTTACTCAAGTACTGTACTTAAGTACAATTTTAAGGGGCTTGTACTTTACTTGAGTATTTAAATGTTCTGCTAGTTTGTACTTCTACACCACTACAATTCAGAGCTACATTTGACTCCACTACATGTATTTAATACCTTTAGTTACTTTACAGATATGGATGAATGATGTGAAATATGATCAAGTGTTAAATCAGACTTTAGTTCCACCTGGAGTAAATTCACAAGCTACCCTGCAGTATACAAAGTCATTCAAACTAGCTGCACCTTTACCAGCTTTGAGAACACTTTCATGATCAATCATTATAAAACATATCATATATATTATTCTGAAATTGACCAATCTGCACAGTGACTACTTTTACCTTTGGTACTTTAAGTATGTTTAGATGCTAATACTTTTCTACTTTTACTTAAGTGTTCCTATACTCTTGTACTTCTACTTTTACTTAAGTACACAATCTTAGTATTTCCTCCACCTCTGGATAAGGGTTATTCCACGATGAATGTATCATCTTATTTCAGTCTATCATAGTCTTTAAGAAATGATTGGGGTTTACGCCCAAGCAATATATTGTCCTAATGCCTAATCAAAGACAACGAACGTATATCTATACCACTTATATCGGCAGATAGGTAGAAAATATAAGTCAGCACTGAAGTTGTTTGTTGTAGCCTTTATTTAACCAGGTAAAATCCCATTGAGATCAACGATCTCTTTTTCAAGGGAGACCTGCAGAGTTCCAAAAACTCTTTAATTTTCAACGAGTCCTGTTAGCATAGCACAATTATATCCAATTCTTAGGGAGGGAAAAGCTCACTCAGCTGGACCTTATCAAAATGATTTCCATGTTATGTGTTAATGTAAAAACAAAAGACCAATAGGGCTATGGCATGGCTCACTTGGTGTTTAAATCTGGTCTGTGGGAACCTCTATGCGTATGAAATGAGCCGTATCTGTGGAGAAGTGTAGTGCCACTTGGGTCCCGACTATAACGATATAAAGCCTCAATAATGTCTGTCTCCCCCTCCCTCCCACTCCAAACCTCCTCTCCAGGCTGGTTTTCCTGAAGAGGCCACCACTTGTATGAGATCGTCTTCACCGGTCCCAGACGTCCCCACTCTGGGGCAAAGAGCTCTCCTGCCTCCCTTCCTCCTCTCCCAGCCGGAAGTTCCCCAGCCTCCGAGTGCAGCGCATCACCTCCACACTGGAGGGTGAGTGAGGCACCATCACACTTTCATCAGGAGTTAGGAGGGGGACACAGTGACCAATGAGCTGGATTTATTTCAAATAACCAATGACCAATGAACAAAATGTAAAAAGGACCATGGGATTACATTCTAGTCTTTTAAACTAACAGGGAAACGTGGTAAACGTAGCAAACCTCAGCAAGAGACACTCAATGTGTTGGATGTCAGCCATCTGCTGAACTACAGTAACACAAACCACTACACTGGGAATATGATATAAAACAGGAAATACATGCTGTATAAGTACATATACTGGGATATTAATTATGCATGATAAGCATTTGTTAGCAGTCAGTTAGCATAGCATTGGCTGTCTGTACGGATGACTCTTTAGTTGTCATTAAACCTGTAGATGTGAAAGTCTGTACCCCCTCATTTGTAAAGATGACATGGGCCTCCAAATATTAAATATTTAAAATGACCGACAGGTGTAGACACTAACTCTAAACCCCAGAGAAGACAGTCAGTAACAGTGATCGGCCCGTACTTCTCTTAACTCATATGTACAGATGTCATTAATTAACTTTTCTTTTAATAACACTCCTCTCTTTCTGCCCAGAGCTTCTATTTATAAGGGCATTTATATTTCACATGTACTTTATTCATTTTGGATACAAAACTGCTGACAGATGACCAGAAACGCTGATACTGTATTAATGGATACTGCTGATGCTATAGACGCTCCAAAGATGGCCGCGACGCCCCAGAATACACTGCGGTTCCCATTCCCTTTTGCAGTGACACAAATCAGTCACAGATCACTAAATCTTAGTGAAAACAATCTTAGCTAGACGCTGTATCATCACTCTCTCTGACTTTCTATCTCCTAACCTCACATACTAGGCCAGCTTTACACATTTATGTTATTTTACTTTTGTCCACATAAATCCAGTATGGGCTATACTTTGGTTTTGAAAAAACATCTTTCCTATCAGCCTAATCTCTGTGTACAGTACTTCCACCATCAGCATTGTAGCATTAGCAAGTTCATCTGAGAGTGTGCTCCAGGTGCATTGTGGGTATATACAACCCTGAGGTACTGTACATCCTCAACCTCACCTAGCTGCTGACTGCCCCTCTAACAACTCTAACTCTGGGATCTTTCATCAATATTCCATCAGCAGCCCCTGGCACACTGCCAACAGGGACTGGGGTTGTTTGAGGTGTTCTGAACACAGAATGTTTAATCATCTAATGCAATACTAGCTATTTGTTTTAGCAAAGTCTGTGAGAAAATCTCAGAGTTTCATACTGTATAAGCCAGTAAAAAAGCAGCTCAGGAGATGTTAGGTTAGCCTGTCGCTCTCTCAAAGAGACTGAATGTGTGTGTGCATTGCAACACACACTCACACTATAAAGTACAGGTAGAAGACTGTTACGAACCCACTAGGGATGAGTAAGGTAACACACACCAGACGGTTTTGGTAGATAATTATAATAGGGTTTTAATGAAATAACAACAAAGGTGTACAACAAAAAGGGAGCAAAGGTAACCTAAGCGAAACAAAGAAGCCAAAGGGCGCAGGTCCAACTAATAACAGAAAGAGGACTCTAAAAGTGAGCCTACTTACACATCTGAGATCACTTCCAATCAGCACTAATGGAAGGAGCTGCAGGAAAACACAGCTAACAAAAGAAACTAAACACACCACTTTAAACACATATATCAACATTCGACACTAAGCACATATATTGTCACACCAAACACAGTCTGTAGTGTCCACGACACAAGAGCATAAATGAGTGAGGCGTCTGATCGCAGCAGAGCCTCCCGAGTGATAATTGTCCCCAGGCTTTGTAGTCATCTCCGGAAGGTGTGCGCTGGGATGGCACGGGGATTGGAGAACGTCGGGCCCGGCGTGCTCCAATCAGTGTCTTCGGAGGAGGACCAGCAGGGTGACAGCCAATGACGTTGGGGCAACCACACAGCTCATTTACATAATCACACACACGCACACAGCTGCAAACAATCCCAGACAGGTTAACGAGCAGACAGAAACAGCAGCCGTAACAAAGACACACCACTGCACTGCAGCACTTTGCAGAGTGAATCAGGAATATGACTGGCCCTCACCTTGCTCTTTCTACGTCAGTCCAGTGTCTAACGCCCTCACCTTGCTCTTTCTACGTCAGTCCAGTGTCTAACGCCCTCACCTTGCTCTTTCTACGTCAGTCCAGTGTCTAACGCCCTCACCTTGCTCTTTCTACGTCAGTCCAGTGTCTAACGCCCTCACCTTGCTCTTTCTACGTCAGTCCAGTGTCTAACACTGAACAGAAGTAAACACACAATCATGAGTAGAAATCAGAGGTGGAAGAAAGAGCTAGAGCTTGTACTTAAATAAAAGTAGAAATATCAAAGTGTAGGAATAAAAGTTCTGCTTTCAAAATTACTTACTTAAGTAAAAGTACAAAGTATTTGCATCTAAATATACTTAAAGTGGACCTATCATGCTATATTTGAATAATATAGTATAGGACCATACCTATATAAGGCATATTTATACTTTTTTTTTTTCAAAATACCAAACAGATCATGCATTTTAGACATGCCTCATTTCGCTCTATTTGACATTTTTTAGATCTGTTTTAGCAAAGGTTGATTCTGTGAGCAACAGCACCATCTAGAGGCCTGGCATTGATTGATTTAATTGATTGATTGATTGATTGAAAAGTTTATTAACAGCTTGTATATTGGGTACAGTACAGTACAGCTCAAAACATACAATTGTTAAGGGGATGCAGACCAGAGAAAGACTTTCGTCTTGTTTACATCAGGGTACCCCATTTCCAATTCATCATATCATTTAAGACATATAAGACATATTAGACATACAGATGGCTTATTTACAATTTACATACAGGTGGTTTTTTACATACAGATGGCTTATTTACAATTTTCATTTTAGATTTCGTTCTAATACATCCTAACCGGACATTTAAGACATACCAAGTCTACAGATATACAGTTAGTAACAGAGTCTAAAATGCGAGTATATACATAGATGGGGGGGGGAAGCTGTCCATTGTACGACAGGTTGAGATTTGTACCATTACCGGGGCCAGTTTTGCAATGCTCTCCCCCGAAGGTGCTCTTTAAGAGAGGTTTTGAAGGTAAGTATAGTTTTACTTTCCTTTACAGTTGTGGGAAGAGCGTTCCACCTTGATGTGGCATAATTGCAAAACGTGTATTCCCCCTTTTTTGTGCCAAATCTGGGTTTTACATGATTTGTGGAGCTCCCTCTGGTGTTATGATCATGGTATTCCTTGACCTTTGGGAAGAATTTTGACATGTACATGGGTACCATAGAGGTGTAGTGGATCTTGTAGACCAGGCCCATTGCAAGTAGCTGTACTCTGTCGTCTACTCTAAGCCATCCTAGGTTGTCAAAGTGGGCAGAGGTGAGGTGGGTTCTAGATGAAAGGTCAAGCAGTAGTCTGACCAGTTTATTTTGCGATGTTTGAAGTTTTATTTTTAGCGCCTTGGAGGTGCTATGGTACCATGACGTGCAAGCATAGTCATAGTACCCTTGAATGAGTGCTCCTGCCAGAGTTTTCAGGGTGTTTTTGTTTACCAGAGAGGAGATCCGGTATAGGAATCTAGTTCTTTGATTGACTTTTTTTATTACATTGGATGCCATTTTGTCACAGGAGAGGTTTGCCTCAAGAATAGATCCTAGGTATTTAATTTCCTTCTTACTAGTGACAATAATGTCACCCACTGCAACTGAGAAGTCGTCGGATTTTCTGAGATTATGTTTCGAACCGAAGAGAATGGACTCTGTTTTACCCAGGTGTAATGATAATTTATTATCGGCATATGTACTACAACGTCTCCAGCGCTTTCGAACGGCAATGCCGTGGTTGTCTCCTCCTGATTGGTGGAGTTGGCCCAATAGCCGTAGCGCCACCGTCCTGACGTCAGGACATCAGTTTGTATCAGATCCGTTGCAGCCCCTTTTTTAGAGATTTGGGTATGGAGGAAAATAGAGAGGGTTGTGTTTTCTGACACTTGGTGAGTTCCCTGGAACACCGGGGACACATATTCATGTATAAAAGACGTACAAAAGTGCATTTTGCATGATAGGTCCCCTTTAAAGTAGTCATTGTGTAGATTGGCTCATTTCAGAATAATATCTGTTTTGATTATAATTATTGATCATTCAAATGTTATCACAGCTGGTGAGGTGGAACTCATTTTAATGACTTTATTTACTGCAGGTTAGAATGTGAATTTAATCCAGGTGGAACCAAAGAGTGATTTAAGTGTTGATTATATTGTTTATCATTAATCTATATCTGCAAAGTAACTAAAGTTACTACATAAATGTAGTGGAGTAAACAATATTTACCTCTGAATTGTAGTGGAGTAGAAGTACAAAGTAGCAAAAAATGGAAATACTCAAGTAAGTACCTCACAATTGTACTTAAGTACAGTACTTGAGTAAATGTACTTAGTTACCTACATCTAGGGTGCAAATGTAAATGTGATGAAGCCTCTCCCTCTCACAGGGGGGGTGAAGGTAACCTGTGAGTACAGGACTCACCAGGAGGGGGTGCTGCAGGAGGAGCTCACTCTGGCGACCAGAGGGCGGAAAGGAAGCCAACTGAAGGTCACCTTCCAGGCCAAGGTCATCGGTAGGTGCCCACACACACAGACACACGCACACGCACACGCACACGCACACGCACACGCACACACACACACACACACACACACACACACACACACACACACACACACACACAAGCCCCATAATGAATGCAGCAGTGTCCTGATCAAATGTTCTGTACAAAGTGTAATACTTAAAGCTCTCTTTACTTACTCCCTCTGTACAGACCAACAACATGGGACCCCCATGCTGATGGAAGGGGTGAGGTGTCTCGGTGCTCGGAAAGACAGCAACTCAAGACGCAGCAGCGATCATGAGAAGAAGTGATGGAACGATATACTCACATATCCTAAATATGTCTGTACCACAGTGTCAGAGGAGGAAGCGTGGGAACACCAACATGTGGTCTGCAAATAAGAAACAGCTTAATTTGACTGGGAAATAATGTCTGTCACGCTTTGTTCTGTTAGTGTGGTATTCCACATTTTTTGTTGGAAAATAACAGCTCAAACAAATACTGTAGTCAAGATAAATATACAAAATATATGCTGATCATGAAGCAAAAAGCTAAAGTACAAATGACAATCGCAAGTACAGTACACCAGCAGTCATCACTAGCAGCTTACACACACGCACACCACACACACACACACACACACACACACACACACACACACACACACACACACACACACACACACACACACACACACACACACACACACACACACACAATAAGCCACTGCCTGGAAAATAAATTCATGATCAGCACCACTCAATTATTTGTCTATATTATCTTTTAACCAAGTAAAGACAGTAGGCTTGCACAATGATGCTGGTGCAAATATCAATGTTATTAGAGTTGTAATGGGGGTCTGTGGCTGATCACAGCCAGTCATTACCGGTTAAAGTCTCAGAGGCTTCAGAAATGATCTTATGTTTTATTTTTTATTATGTGTTTATCAGGCAATACACTTAACTTAAAGGGCCCGTGTCATGCTTTTCCGGTTATTACCCGTCCCCTTGTGTGTTATGAAGGTTTCTATGCATGGAAACGGTCTGCAGAGTCAAAAACCCTCAAAGTACACCCTGTAGCGAGTAAAACTCTAACACAGAAAATACCTGTCTATGCTGCCCCAGAAGGCCTCGTTGGAGATTTCTCATTTTCCATTGTTTGCTTCCTGGGTTCTGTGACGTGTGAATACCCAAATCAACAACAAATGACCGGATTGGCCCAAATGGACCAATCCGCGGAGCACCTCACACACCAGGATCCCTTGGCTAACTAACAGGGAGTCCCCATTGACTTGCATAGAGCTCCCTGGTTGGTAATAGACGAGTTGGGATGGCGGAGAAATGCTCTCCGCAGACCCATTCTCACAGCGTTATAAACCTTTTTCTTACTCAATATCAAGCCACACTTATTGTTTTTACTTCGGCTGTGAGTGTTTGTGTGTGCTCAGGATGAGTTTGGCTTGTTCTCGCTGTATCGCCGACCCGGCAACCTGTCCGCTCCTCGCAGCAGCGAGCCTCGCAACGTCCCGACCAATCAGAACACACTGGACTCACAGGGGGGGCAGGAGCTCCAACAAGCCGTTTAGGACAGAGAGTGAATACACATACTATACAGAGATGCTGTATGAGAAACCAATGTGATTTTGGAAAATTGCACAATATAAATCTATTCTAGTAGACCTCAACAATGGACATATGATCAGTAGAAATGGCCATGACATGGGACCTTTAATAAACAAGTCTAATCGCAATATAGAATTTGCTCAAAATGATGACATGTAGTTATCACAGTTTGTGCAAGATGACACAAGTTCACTGCTATATTTGACTGATAACGTCTTATTGTTGCACTAACAGTTCTAAATGTAACATTGATATATCGTATAGTAGATAGAACATTGATTCCACACCATAGCGACAGTAGTTGAGGCCACTTAGGGTTCAGCTTTGGCAACAGTGACTCAGCAGCTATCAGCACACGTTATCAGGAGGCTGTTACTCCTTTGCTTCAAAGTAGCCTTTAACTAGGAGAGGGGAGCATGAGGATTACCCAAATAACCACAGTCTGTTCTACATGTAAATTACAAAGTATATAACAGCACAATAATATTGGAATATTTTTAAATGTAATCTTAAAAAGCAGAAAGTTTCTTTAAAAACCAGGAAATATTATTTGTATGACTTGACCGGTGCAACAGAAACTGAAAAGATAAAAACATGTTTTATTTTTATTTTCTTGTTTTGTAAAACATGTATATGCCTATAGCATCTCTTCTGTTCAAATCAGCAGCCTTATTTATGTGTTTCATGACAGTAGGATCAGGGAATGATACATAATATATCATGTATAAGTTATACTGTTAATGCTGTAAAGCAGAGACAAAGATTGTTAATTATCTGCATGATTTACACTTCATGTCAAGCAGTGTAACCAAATGAACAGGTCAGCTAAATGATCAACCTTATAGCAACACAAAAAGGATTTTTCCTAAGCTGTAGGCTATTTATCGCATTTTAACTGCACTTTATTACATGGCAAATAGTATTTGGTTTATTTATTTATAATAAGTAATAAGACATGGACAAATACAATGTATAAATGACTTAGCATGCAAGAATGTTAACCGTAGAAAAAGTAGCTGGTGTCTCAGACAAACAGTTAGCAGCTAGCTCATTAGCTTCATTTTCAATGCTAACCCTCATGTCCGTGAGCAGTTTGAGCCATCAGTCACAAATCTGACATTAACATTATCATAACAGGACCCTAGTCACATTAAGCAAATTATTTTAAAAGTGGATAACCAGCTTTTATCAATATACCTTTGAACATCCATGATTTTATCCAAACAAAATTGTCAACAGTGTCACATAAACAGTGTACTTCTGCATGAGTGGTATAGCCTATTGACTATGTAACAGGATCAGTTTCTTTTTGGACATCACTAGTCAAATGTATTTGGCTCTAGAATTTGGATTTTTTTTTTGTGACAATAGTACGTGTTGTTGGAGCTTCATAGTGAAACTGTGTCTTAGCAGTGTCCTGGTACTCAGCAGAGAGAGTGTGTGTTGGAGATCTACCAAGACACATTCAGGACCAAATGTTCTGATTACATTTCCTGTTTGTTTCAACAGTGTTGGTTGTGCGGCCTGCAGTGTATGTGTTCACAGTGTGTGTCCTTGTTCCCATCATAACATCACTATTTGTCTGTTCACTTGATGTCAATAAAGTATCCTCACATACTGTACGAGGTCAAGTCAACTTTATTTCTAAAGCACATTTAAAAAAAAAAAAACTGTGAACGGGCTTCTGTGATAATAAAAGCAAAGAACAGAAAAAAACTATAAACGTCATAATATGAAAATCATTGCAGCACAGCATAAGAGGAGGTGTTTATATTACCTTACATAAGTTCACATCACATATGATTGGGTTTAAAGGATTTTTTTTGCTTTCAATTTTTTTGGGAATGTATTGTTAAATATGTGCACAATATGTGATCTAAAAGTGTTAAAAATATATTTTTAATTTAATCTTGACTTAGAGTTTCCGTTCCCGTATTGACTCAATAAGCAGAAAGGACCACGGGACATTCCAAAGACTGATACATGAGATCGCTGTTTAGAAGAATAACTACGTAATAACTTCTATGATCCATTTAAGCTTCCCTGTTTGCTCTTTACAACAGAACAAACGTCATGCCCCAACTGGCCTGACAACATTCTGTAAATTGTGGTCATGTCAACTTTGAATGACAACTCAAAATTGTATTGTTGTGTTTGTACCACTTAATTGCTGCTTGGACACCCAGCTGTAAACATTTTCAATTTGCAGTACAGTGCAGTGATCGTGAACAAAATGAATGAAGGTATCTTAAAAATGCTGATCAGTATATTCAAATGTAGTCTCATGTAAACCATTGCATGATATACAAGTAAACAATATAATACAATCTTATTATATAATAATATGTAATAATAATCATTTTAACACGTTTTTAAAGTAGTGTTAAAGTTAAAGCGACTACTGAATTGACAGAATTCTAAACAGACACAATCGTCATAAAAAATATATTTGGACCTAGATGTAAGCCTTTAGGTCCGATATGATTGGACTTTTGCAAAGAGCCACACATTTAGCCAGGCTCTCATACTGTACATCATTTCTATTCTAGTGTGTGATAGCAATTACAGCCTTACACTGATTTTAGTGTAGTCTTTCTTTTTTAATGTTTTCCCTCAGACTAAAAACATTTTGTTTCCCTTGGTTTCAGCTAGGTCTCTTTGCTGCAGTGTGTCTGAATAGATATTTCATCACTAAATAGTGCCAAACATGGAAATTACCAATGTGAGAACAGTCTTAAAGTATTGACATATGGACCACCACATGAGTGACACCTCAGGCATAAATAACTTAAGTAAACTTTTAGCCTCATGACTTACTCTACTCTGCGTTAAATTGCAGATGATCAAATCTATTGCAGAGGTATCTTCCTTCATACATGAAGCGAGTGGAAGTGAAGAAGTCCTTTTCACATTTCATTCTGGCATTGCAACAGGGCAGATGATGAGTGGAGCCTCATTCCTCCCTGATTTGTTAGTACAGGGGCTGAAGAAGGCATGGATGGTGTCAGGAAAGACATCTGTGAATGTAAAGATGAGCAATCTGGCCTCCATATTGTAGAAGGACACCACCCCCTTATCACAGTCCACAAAGACGCCCACCCGCGTGGGTCTGGGGTTCACGGTCAGGTTGGTGGAGGGTTCTGTTCGGAAGGCGTAGTCCGTCCGATCTCGCAAGCTCAGGAACCAGTAGCCGTGGGCGGGGCTTACAGTGATTTTGCCCTTCCGATTGACGGAGTGACTTGCCACTCCCAGGTCCCAGTCAGTCTTTCCTCCAACCTCCACCTGTAGGAGCAGAGCGCTGCAGTTACTGCCAAGAGTTAAAGGGCCCTATTCTGCTTTTTGGGGTTTTCCTTCTCCTGTAGTGTATTTTATAGGTTTTTTTGCTTGGAAATGATTGCAAAGGCCAAAATCCCTGTGTTCAAGAGAGTTTCCCATACATTACATATCAATATCAGCTAAGTTATCTATGCCTCCCTTAGATGTAAGCTACAGTAGCAGTATTTCACAATCTCTCTCAAATTGTAATCTGTTTATTTTGTCGTTCAACATTGGGGCAGTTTTCCAAGAAAAATGTAATCATTGACTCAAAATAAATTAAACAGCCTTCTGTGTCTCTGTAGATTGATACAAAAAAATTACATAATCCTCAAAAACATAACTTATTCATGTTGGGTGTACTGCATGTTTGCGTGCACTCTGTCATAACTACACACAGGTATTTTCTCAGCCTGACATCACATGGTGCATGCTTCTTGAGACAGTCAGGGGTCAGTACTGTCAATGTAGAGAGCTGCAGGAATGTGTCTTACAACCTGGAAATTAGTTACTATTTCTTCCAGTTTCCTTGAGATTTTCATGTGTGGATCTACAACGAAAAACATGTCAGTAAATAGTTTGTTTATAGCCAAACGTTAACTATTTCCGTCTGGCAAATGCATTTACACAGAAAAAATATAAAAGTGTTATTAATACTGCAGGTGGAGATAATCATGCTGATAGTATTATAATGGTTTGTTTCTGCAGTATTCCCAAATCCAATGGAAATATCCTACTAGTCGAGGGGTCAACCTAAAAAAATACGTTATCACTGCACCGTTCTAGAATAAACAGTATCTGTACACAGTTGCATACTGTACCTCCCAGTAGTGGCGCCCTGAGCTGAGGCCCTGGCGGCCCAGCACACACACCACCCGGTCGAAGCGCTCGGGGTAGTCGGGCAGAGACTGGTGGCGCTCCCCACACTGAACCTGCCTCCCGTCAGCTGAGATGATGAGCCGTGGGTGGGCTGTGTTGGCATCTAAAATGACGTTTGCTGACAGATTGAGAGATGTTTATGATTAAACCACCAATGAAAACATAACTGACCATTGTTTACATGGACAACAAACTCCTTTAAATCCTTACTTGCATATTCTTGAACCTTTCTTGTCACTGCAAAGAAAAGAGAATATATTTACTTTTGAAATGATTCTGCCACTGATTTAAAGAACATGTTGTGCTGTTAGTTAATCAGGATCTTACTTGGGTTGGTCTTTGGTACAGCATGCTCCGACGATTGCTGGACTGTGAAATATGGGAATGAACATGATTTGTATACCACTATACTAATACACACATATTAGAGCTCGTAGAACACAAGTGTAGATACTGCTATGGTACAGGTGATCCTTTTATTTCTAAAGACTTTGCACATATCAAGATAATTCCATCTGTGTCATGATCTTCCCCTTGAAATCAACATCTCTCTTAGACTTACAGACTTTGGGCAGTTGCTGTATCTCTTCCTGGACGCGCTCCATCATTTGATAGACAGTCCTGAGAACCGCCCCCGAGGTCAGCTCAGACACCACAGAGACAGAGGACCAGTCCTTCGCTGGGGGAGGGCTGGACAGGGCAGGGAAGCTCTGCACACAGAGGGAATGTCATAAACACATGTGATATCAACAGGCTTAAAGAAACACATTTAGAGAGGGTGCCATTGGTTAGTTGAATCCCCGTTAAACTTAAATATAGCTTGTAGGAAGCAGGGACCAAACCAAACATGTTTGGAATCAGCACTCAGGACAATATAACAGGAAAGTTAAGCTGAGTTCCAATAATCACTGCAGCCAAAATGCACTGGATTTAAATAGTGGTGGAAAGTAACTAAGTAAGTACATATACTGTACTTATACACTTTTGACAGATTGTACTTGAGTAATGGTATTTTACTCTAAATATACTTCTGCTCCACTACATTTCGGAGGCCAATATTGTACTTTTTATTCCACTTATTTAACACATATAGTTACTAGTTACTTTGTACATATAAAAACACATGATATATGATAAGATGCAGTGCTGTACTGCTAATATATAATTGTATTAGGTAAGTTGAGAAGCACTAATATTAAGTTTAAATAAAAAAAAATAAAAATGTAACTTAAAATGATTGCTTGAAAGGGCCCATGTCATGCTTTTCCGGTTATTACCCGTCCCCTTGTGTGTTATGAAGGTTTTTATGAATGTAAACGGTGTGCAGAGTCAGAAACCCTCAAAGTACACCCTGTAGCGAGTAAAACTCTAACACAGAAAAGACCTCCCCAAAACGCCTCGTTGGAGATACGTCATTGTCCATTTGATTCTTCCGGGTACGGCATGATGTCAAGCCGTACCCGGAACGAAATGGACCAATCCGTGGAGCCGTTACATTACGTCCGCGGAGCCGTTACGTTAAGCCCCCGCTGATTGTTCCAAATTGACCAATCCACGGACTTCCTCACACACAGGCAGCTCTGCTGAGTTCTCCTCCCTGGCTGCAGGCTGATAACAGATAGTTGGGATCGCGGCGAAATTCTCTCTGCAGACCCATTCTCTCTGCAGACCCATTCTCACAGCGTTTATCAACCTTTTTCTTACTCAATATCAAGCCACACTTATTGTTTTTACTTCGGCTGTGACTTTGTGTGTGCTCAGGATGAGTTTGGCTGTGTTTCGCTGTGTATCCTAAACAAGGAAACAACACCTCCACGGAGCTCAGCGCGATTCACAACGTCCCGACCAATCAGAGCACACTGTGCTCACAGGGAGGGTGGGGGCTGGAGCTATTGGAGCTACAACGAGCCGTTAAAGGCAGAGAGTGAAATTCAGTGAATACACGTAGTTTACAGAGATGCTGTATGAGAAACCAATGTGAGTTTGGAAAAATGCACATGGTTACCTTGGTTGGTGATTGGCTGATGGTCACACAAGCCAAAAAATCGTTATGACTTCATAAAGTGGCCACAATCTGATCAGCTCATTTTCAGACAGATTTTTATATAAATGAAAGAGAAAAAAAAAAGAGAGAGAATCTTTTTACACAGAGGGGACACATGTTGATGATAAAATAAAAGTGGATTTTGCATAATAGGTGACCTTTAACTAAACTTCAGACTTTTCAGTGTCCTGTAGACCTGCATATGTATCACTACTGTATTTGTTGTGGTATCTCATATCTCTGTATTGACTCCTGCATTGAGTACCCTGAGGAAGAGTACGTAGTCTTCAGTCAGAGCCAGCTGACTCACGGCCTCCCTCCTCTTCCTCAGCTCAGAGACCTCCTCCTGCAGCTCCGTCAGCAGGACCTCCGCTCTGTGCTCAGCCGCCCGCCGGCTCCTCTCCAACACCTGGGGGGGGGACACACCTTACATAATAATCACAAGTCTTATGTCAACACTAACAGAAAAAGCCTAGAGATTCTCTACATACTTCCTATGTTGGTTTTATTTACCTCCAAGACTTCAGCTTGGCAGCGCTCCAAACTGGAGATCAGCTTGGAAAACACACAAACAGTTCCATGAGTCTGTGTCTCCACAGCAGCCTGGGGACAGATGGACATGACCACTGATGAAGAGAGAGCTCAGGGGGGGATCAAACTGTGATCAGGAGACTTCCAGGCTGTACCAAACTATTACTTTGTGCATACTGGCAAAGGCGTGGCAACTGAAAGCATTTATTTTTAATGTAAAATCTCTGTATGAGAAATGAGTTATACCTTAAATCCCTGGGACTGTTCTCAGCTAGACAGCTCTCAGAAAATCACGGTTTTCGTTATACAACACATACATCAAAAGTACATGTTTTAATAGGATTTTTAAGAATGAATATATATACTGGAGGTGCTACTATCTGTAATATTGTAAGAGTGATAGTTCGTTCAGATTTAACTTTTGCCCATATTCTAAAAAAGGATTCACCTTTGTAAAGAGTGAAGCTCACCTGTATCTCTCGTAGGGAGTTGTGTATTTCCTCCACTTTCCTCTCTCTCTCAGAGATGAGACCCTTCAGCTCCACATCTGCAACACCCAACTGGGACTGGAGAACAGAAAAACACACGTTGCCTTAGGATTAACTTAAACTAACTCTATAACGTTTAAGAATGTTCCTATTATTTATTTAAATAAATGTTTTATGTCCAAAACAAGCCTCGTAAAAAGTGTTTTCAGACAATTTGTTTCCACACACACACACACACACACACACACACACACACACACACACACACACACACACACACACACACACACACACACACACACACACACACACACACACACACACACACACACACACACACACACACACACACACACACACACACACACACACACACACACACACACACACACACACACACACCACACACACACACACACACACACACACACACACACACACACACACACACACACACACACACACACACACACACACCTTCCTGCTGTGCCACTCCCTCTGGGCGGGGGTGACGCTGTGCCCCCTGTGCTCCGCTGTCTCCACACAGCTGGAGCAGATGCAGATGTTGTCGGTGCGGCAGAAGAGCTCCAGAGCTCTCAGGTGGAGGGGACACTTGGGAAGATTCTGGAAGGAGTCGCTGGGGACACTCACGGTATGCCTGTCATAAAATTATATTTAACAACATGGAAAATTGATAATTCTGTCGTTCAAATCAAGTGATTCTCAAAAGGCAATTTTTGAAAAAAAACCGGAAACATTTACTTTGATTACATTTATTATGTCAACAAATGTCTTGTAACTGTATTAGATTAGTTGTATTAAATAATAATTTGTATTTAAACGTAATATTAATGCTTTCAACTAACCTAATACAGTTATGCCAAACTTGTTGACATAATGCATTTAATCCAAATCAACATTCCAGTGTTTTCGGTGCAGTGTCTAAGGAACGTAGGGTGGCACCTGCGGGGGGGCGAGTAGGGGGGAGGCGGGTCTTGGTGCTCATCACTGAATGGAGCTGGGCTCTGAGGGAGAGGGTCATCGGGTGAGGAGGGGTGGGTGTTAGGCGTCCCCGGAGTCTGCAGCTGCTGGAAACGATTCATCATCTCAGCGAAGACGGTCCCCGGCAGCTCCCCCGCCCTCTGCGGGAGAGAGAGAGAGGGATGGCGATGGCGGGGGTGAGAGTTTGGATGGTCCACACCCTGCCCTCCAGAGCTGACGATCTGCTTGAACTGCTCCGTGATCTCCTTCAGGGTGCGGTTGATGTGGAGCTCCGGTCGCCTGCGGAAAGGCTCCTTGCAGAGGGGACACTCATAGGACTTGGCCCCCACTTTCGTGTCCCAGTAGGAGGAGATGCAGGCCTGGCAGAAGCTGTGGCCACATGAGGTGGAGACGGGGTTGTTGAACACATCCAGACAGATGGAGCAGGTGAACTGGTCTTCAGACAGGGAGGCTGCAGAAAGCTCCATCGCCATCCAACGATCAGCTGGAGAGAGACAGTGTGCTGTTAGGAAGGGATAACTCAGGATGAAGAAAACATAGACAGACCTTCTACACTGAAACTGAAACATTGACTTTAATTCAATGTATCATGTCAAAGGGCTCCACATAACTGTATTAGGTTAGTTGAAAGCAATAATATTACATTTGAACTAAATTGTTTTTGCTTTCAACTAACCTTATACAGTTATGTGAAATCTGTTGACACAATACATTTAATTAAAGTCAACATTTCAGGTTTTTGTATTCCGTTACAATTAGGTACCTGTCATCAGTAACGCAATCTATCACAATATAAAAGTAATGTAACCTGATTACTTTATGTTACTTTTGGATGTCCTCAATATCAAATGCAATGAAATATGTATTTTTAGTATTATGTAAGATAACAGAACAATGACCTTAGGAAAGAAGAAACCAAGATATTTAGGATCAAGTTCACATAATGCATTCGAAAAAAAGATATTTAAAATAAAGAAGATTCAAAGTAACCTTAATGAAAACAATGTATTTATTTTATTTATTTATAAGTATATGTCTGCCTATAATGTATACAACTTTTTTAATCTAACTGTGAGGGAACACATTTACCTTTTTTTTCTATTCGGATGACATAATCCCGTCCTTTAAGGGTTCATTCTAGATCTGCTGGTTGTTGTAGTGTGTTTTGGTCGTAAAGAAAGGAATCTACACCAAGGCTGATGTATACATGTGAATGCTCCTAGGCTTGTAAGGAGCAGTCGAACTGGTTCCAAGGATATTGTGAAATACCATGGAATCACGTTTACACACCAGAAAGATGGCAAACAATGCAAACAGCTCAATCAGATCAGAGTCCCACAGGTTAATAAGGTAAGACTGAAGCATTCTTTTGTGCACCAGGTCACACTGAAATGAAATACAGAGTCCCAGATCGATTGTACATGTATGTTAAAGGCCCAGGAACACATTGTCGCCATTGATTGTAATGTAATGCTTAATGTCTCTTTCCTTGTTTTTGTTTCATACATTTGCCTTGTTGATGTTGAAAATGGAGCTTCTGTGATGCAAGAAAAAGGTCAGATTCAAAGTATTATCGTATCGTATTTCGTGTCTGTGCGTCCTCTCTGTCTGCATGCAGAGTCCTTTCCTCATGAATGACCTCGTAAATAGAGTTCACATTAATATATCAGGTAAGATTTGTACAAAAAAGAAAGATTAGCCTAGCTTAGCATAAATACTGAAAGCAGAACTATTGTTATGATTGTTCTGATCAGAAATGTCCCAGGCATGTTTCTTTGTGTTTCCCTATCTCTACATCCCGTCAACAGCAGCATTCAGTGCATTGTTGCTAAACCAGTCATGAGTGGAGTTCTGCATGGGGAAACAAAGCTAATGCAGCAGGCTCCACCAGTCTGCACCTGTACTATCGGACACTCTTTCAACACATTGGCATTACATTCCTTTAGCTTTTGTCCAAAGCAACGTCGAGAGGAACAAGAGATTTATCTTATCCACCGTTAGCCATTACATGGGTTTTCACACCCTCCCTATTATATATTTCTAAAAAACAAACAATGATACAAAAGTAGAAATGGCCCTCAGCTGGTAACATAGCACAAACTCTGTACATATTGTATACTTACTGTTGAATGTTATCTCACATTCTTACTGTTAGATAAGAGACAACAGTGTAGCTTTCTGCGTTTCTTTAATGTACGACAGACTGCTGAGTCCATTAGCACAATTTGATCCTTAAACAGTATATAAATAACTATGTTAAGAGACTATATGTGAGAGTTGGTTCAGCTAATATGTGAAGTCTAGAGTATTAGTTCACTTTATATGTTAAGAGACTGTTAGTGGTAGGTAAGTGTATAATAAAGAGTGGGGGTTAACTGTACCATCTATAAAAGTGTGTGTTGAATGTGCCTTACCTGTTGAGAGACGGTTTCTGTGGTGCTGTATTCCTCAGAGTCCTCTGTGTCTCTCCCTCTCTACAGTCAGTCGTGGTGGTGGTGTTGTTGTCTCTCTCCCCACCCACCTCCACACACTGCATGCAGTCCAACCTGCTCTACAGGTGCAGCCTCTCTCTGCTCTGTGAATCCTGACACCAGGCCTGTCAGAACTGTTACAATCACACTATGTGAAAGTGTGAATAGTAGGGATCAAGTGAGCCAAATAAGTCTTTATATATGAAATGGGATTTAAAAAAGAGCTGTTTGATTTGAGTCTTTAAATAAAGTAATGTGTCTTTTTCATGAATTCCATCACGTTGCATTTCTCTCCACACTGAAGCTGCAGGGTGTTCACACTGTTGCTTTTCTGTAACATGCATTACAAAATCTAATTCTGGCTTCATGAAAGCCTTACTAAAGAAAGTACATTATGATATTAGGCATATCAACCTTAAGAAAAGGATAAATCAAGTGGAAGAAGGAAATCTCCCTTAAATTGCATTAATAGAGTAACGGTATGTCTCCCTAATGTAGAAGTGTGCACAAGTTTAAAATGAATACAAAATGGTTTTAATTTGACTAAAATGTACCTTTTGTTTTTCCTTTTGAAAACGGTACTTTGTATTGTTATTTTCTCAGAACATCAAGAAAAATGCAGATGTATTCTCTTTAAATTAGCCAAACCACTGGGCTGGTTCATTAGTACAAAGTTAGTGTTACCATTTCTTTGTGTAACACGCTATCGGCAAAAAACAATTTTTTACCATGAATTGCAAAGAAAACAACTGGAGACCACTGGACATCAGTAAGCAAATAGAACTACCTCCATGTACACTGAAAGGAAACTGAAACGTTGACTTTAATTAAATGTATTATGTCAACAGATTCCACATAACTGTAATATTACTGTGAGCCTCTCCGCTCACACAGGGTTCAAAGAGGGACGGAAAGAGCAGGGTTTGGGTTGAACACAGGCATTTATTAGCACCAAAACAAAGTGTACAACACGGGTTGCAAAACGTTGCCCGTGTGGGATCCTTCACAGGTCCTTCGGCGACCTCCCAGGATCCTGCCTACTGCAAGACAGCCCAGAACCAGGTTACCACATGTTTTTATTCAGTGACTGATTACCTGATTCCGATCAGCTGTCTGGCCTCCGGCCGAGCCACTCCCTTCACACCAGCAGCCGGCGCCCTAACCACACCCCTAACCACATACCCCCACCGCCCGACTCAGGCCGGGATCCCGCCGGCCGCAAGCTGACTCTTCTTCTTCCCCCCCCCTCCGCCGAGCGAGAGAGGAAATCAGCCACGACAATCCGGTTACCCGGCCTGTGGATCACCTTGAAGTTGAAAGGCTGTAGCGCCAGATACCACCGAGTGATCCGGGCGTTGGCATCCTTCATGCGGTGGAGCCACTGGAGCGGGGCATGGTCCGACCAGAGGGTGAAAGGGCGCCCCAGGAGGTAGTACCGCAGGGCGCCGACCGCCCACCGTATGGCGAGGCACTCCTTTTCCACCGTACTGTAGTTCACCTCCCTCTGGGCGAGCTTACGGCTAATGTACAGTACGGGGCGGTCGACCCCCTCCACCTGCTGGGACAAAACGGCCCCCACCCCACTGTTCGAGGCGTCGGTCTGCAACACAAAAGGGAGAGAGAAGTCAGGAGAATACAGAAGCGGCTTACCACAGAGGTTTTTTTTAACCCTCTCAAACGCCAGCTGACACCGCTCCGTCCACTGGACCGGATCTGAAGCACCCTTTCGGGTCAGGTCGGTCAGGGGACTGGTCAGCTCCGAAAAGGACGGGATGAACCGCCTGTAGTAGCCGGCCAGCCCCATGAACCTCCTGACCTCTTTTTTCGTCTTGGGCGCCAGACAGGCTGAAATGGCGGTTGTTTTCTCTATCTGTGGCCGCACCTGCCCGCCGCCCAAGTGGTACCCCAGATACCGTACCTCCCTCCGTCCAACCGCACACTTCTTCGGGTTGGCCGTGAGCCCCGCCTGCCTCAGGGACTCGAGCACTGCCCCCACCTGCTGCATATGCTGCTCCCATGTCTCACTGTGAATGATGACATCATCCAAGTAAGCAGCAGCATATGCAGAGTGGGGACGCAGCACCCGGTCCATGAGCCGCTGGAAAGTGGCTGGAGCTCCGAACAACCCGAAAGGAAGTGTGACAAATTGGTATAAGCCATACGGAGTGGAGAAGGCCGTTTTTTCCTTAGACTCTGGAGAAAGGGGAATCTGCCAATAGCCCTTGGTTAAATCCAGCGTCGTGTAAAAGCGAGCAGTGCCTAGCCGATCCAGGAGTTCGTCGACCCGGGGCATTGGATAAGCATCGAATTTGGACACCTCGTTCACCCTGCGGTAGTCCACACAGAACCGGATTGACCCGTCGGACTTACGTACCAGCACGACGGGGCAACACCAGTCACTGGTGGACTCTTCTATCACTCCCATCTCTAGCATAGCCTGAAGCTCCACCTGAACAATTTTCCTCTTGTGTTCAGGCAGCCGATAGGGCCGTGAACGAATGGCCACGCCCGGGGGCGTTTCTATGCGGTGGTGTATGAGAGAGGTGCGCCCTGGCAGCGGGGAGAACACATCGGCAAACTGCCTTTGCAACGAAGCAACGTCTGCTCTCTGGCCCGGTGCGAGATTGTCGCCACAACAGACCGGGGCTAATTTGTTGCTTTTAATGACCTCCGGTCCCAACTCATCTCTCTCAATCACCGTGGTGACCAGAGAAACAGACGCCACCTCCCTCCATGCTTTCAGGAGGTTAAGGTGGTAAATCTGTGTTGCTCCCCCCCTGTCAGAACGCACCACCTCATAATCTACGTCCCCCACTCGTCGTGTGACCACGAAGGGTCCTTGCCACTTGGCGAGTAGTTTAGAGCTAGAGGATGGGAGTAATACAAGCACTTTATCTCCCGGTGAAAATTGTCTCAGTTTCGACCCTCTGTTGTACAGGCGCTGCTGACGTTCCTGAGCCTGGAGCAAATTCTCCCGTGATATCTGCCCCAGTGAGTGGAGTTTTGCTCGCAGGTCCATAACGTACTGTATTTCGTTTTTACTGGTGCTTGGACCCTCCTCCCAGTTTTCCTTAACTAGGTCCAAAACACCCCGGGGCTTCCTGCCAAATAAGAGCTCAAAGGGAGAAAATCCCGTGGAGGACTGGGGCACCTCCCGCACTGCAAACAACAGAGGATCTAGCCATTTATCCCAATTACGACTATCTTCGTGAACGAACTTACGAACCATGTTCTTTAGTGTTTTATTAAACCGCTCCACCAGGCCGTCGGTCTGAGGATGGTAAACACTAGTCCGTATTGAATGGACGCCCAATAGTTCATACAGCTCGCGTAGTGTGCGTGACATAAACTGTGTGCCCTGGTCAGTCAGGATCTCTTTCGGGATCCCGACTCGGGAGATAATGTGAAACAGTGCCTGCGCGACGCTCTTTGCAGAGATATTATGCAGCGGCACTGCCTCGGGATATCGCGTTGCATAATCCACTAGGACCAGTACAAAGCGATATCCCCGTGCTCTCCGGTCTAATGGCCCGATGAGGTCCATACCAACTCTCTCAAAAGGCACCTCAATCAATGGTAACGGGCGCAAAGGCGCCCTGGGGGTGGCCGGCGGGTTAACCAACTGACATTCACGGCAAGATGCACACCACTGCTTCACATCTGCGCGAAGGCCCGGCCAATAAAATCGGGCCATTATCCGGTGTAGTGATTTGTCGTACCCTAGGTGACCTGACATGGGGTTATAATAAGCCGCCTGGAAAACCATTTCCCGACGGCTTTTTGGCACCAACAACTGGGTATTTATATCTCCTGTCTGTGTGTCACGGCTCACACGATACAGCCTGTCCCTAACCACCGTAAAGTGTGGGTGAGTGAGTGCTGCGTTTGGGTGTAGCTGGGAGCCATCAATACTCACCACCTGGTCGAAGGCGTGCTGAAGGGTCTCGTCCCTCGACTGTTCGAGGGGGAAATCCTCCAAGGGAAACACGAGCGGGGCCAGAGGGACCTCCGCGGCCCCCTCCGTGTCCGTTTCCCCCTCGACGTCGTCAGCCGCCTCCGACTCTCCACAGCACACAGCACACAACTCACATTTCCCTGCCGTCCGTGAACGCACCCCCATAGCCCCCGCTAGCTGAGCAAACCCCGGCCAATTCGTTCCCAAAATCAGAGGGTGCGTAAGGCGAGTGCTAACTCCAGCCCTGACTCTATGCTTTTTTCCCTTATAAGACATTTCCAGCGTCACCTCCGGGTACTGGTGAATATCCCCATGCACACACCTCACCTTCACCCACGATGCTTCAATCAATGCCCCAGGCCGAACCAAGCGCTGATGGATCATCGTCTGATTACAGCCCGTGTCCATCAGAGCCTGGTGTGTACCCCCCTGTATACATACCTGTATACGGTACGTCCCTTCCAAATCGGGGGAGGCAACTGGCGGTCCCGCAACCCGGACCAGCTGTCCGACCTCCATGAGAGGACACTCCCGTCGGAAGTGGCCGGGCTGCCCGCACCGCCAGCAATCCAGCCCTGGCGTCTGAGGAGCCCCCCGTGGTGCCGGACGACCAGAAGCGTAGGCCGGACCCTGGGGAGAGATAAAAACAGGAGGGTAAGGTAGGGCTTGGGGGTGAAGTGTCAGGGCTGCGGGGTTGGGCCCGTGTGGTGGTGGTGGAGGAAGGGCAGCTGCTCCAGGAAACCTCCTCCTCGGGGCTGGGACGGGTCTGCCCGCTGAGACAGCCGGTGGTCGGGGCTCCTCTTTCACACTCCGCCGGGGAAGCGAGAGGTGGTCCTCCGCGAGGACGACGGCTGCTTCCAGGTTGGCGGGGCGATGGCACTGGACCCAATTCGCCGTTGAAGATGTCAGGCCGGCGATTAACTGCTCCAGCGCCACCT